CAAAAATTAAGGATTTTGGGCGCGAAAATTATGGTTTGGGACTTGAAATTGCTAAAATTAAGGTTTGGGAGAGGAGTTTGTTGATCATTGGCCTCCTTGTGGCTTATCGATGAATTTCAGCTGAGCTTTTAGCCCAATCCAGTCGGTCACTAAAGGCAGTTTGAGCTGGATATAAGCATCCCGCACTTCCAACCCAAATCCCCGAAAGGATCTAGACACTAGAACAGGGGCTCCTTTTTTGTTGGACCTTGTAGAGGCGCCTTCCAAAGGAATCTCTTAAATGAACCCTAAGGGGCCCTTAAAGGGGTCTGGGAAGTGAGGCATCAATGCGCCTTCCGGTTCAAGAGTTTTGCCACTTCGGGGCCTGGCCAGGCCCCTCACCTAAACCCTACTATAGCGGCCTAAGCAATCACCGATGCTATTCGGGGGGTTCCTTGTTATAGTTATAGTATAACATACCCCATAGCCGTATTCTAAGGATTAAGGCACCCTTGTTGAAATGTTACGAAGGACCGGTCCTAAAAGGTAGGTTCTTTTGGTGCACAGAAGCCTATCCCTGAAACCCTCGGCCCTAAACTCCAGCCCGCGCCGCTAACAACTAACCCCCAAAGCCGAAACCCTTAACCCCTAAACCTTAAAGCTTCTACACCCCAAAACCCTAAACCCTTTCAACCCCGAACCCTTAAAAAGCCTGAACCCTTAAACCGCCAAACCCCTAAAGCCAAACCTGCCGTTCCAGCCCCCTTAAGCCCTAAGCCCTAAGCCCTAAACCCCAAACCCCAAGCCCCAAACCCTAAACCACGGTTTAGGGGTTTAGGGTTTAGGGTTCAGGGTTTAGGGTTTAGGGTTCCCCAAACCCTAAACCCGAAGCCCTAAATCCTAACCAGGTGCAGCTCAGAGGCGCCTCAGCCGTGAAACCTGTCGTGGATGATGAGGCCTCCGGCTCCGAACATTTCTGGGGTTTTCGCTTCAGGTTTAGGGTGTTTGGGTTTAGGGCTTGGGGCTCTGGGTTTTTGGCGTTTAGGGCTTGGGGTTTAGTTTTTTAGGCTTAGGCTCAGGGTGATGGGATTTGGAGTTTCGAGTTTTTGGGGTTCCGGGTTCAGGGTTTGTCCTAAACCCTAAACCCTAAACCCTAAACCCTAAACCCTAAACCCTAAACCCTAAGGCAAGGCTTTGGGTTCCCGAATTCGCGGGGTTTCTTTGAGGGGGTTCCTTTGAGTCCTTGAAGGAACTTGGAGGGAACCATCGCCATAAAAGCTCGGGGTTCTGCGAGGGTTCTTTAAACCGTACTTTTCCTGCGTGGGATAGTTTAGAGGCAAGCTAAACACGAAACCCCCAATACTCTTCAATTACAATGCCGAAGCTCCAAACCTTAATACCTTTAACACTCATAGAACCCTTGTCCAGCCCTTGTCGAAACGTTATAAAACCCATCTAGAAGCCTGTGAAATGAAACCCTCCCTTTGGACCCTAAACCCTAAACCCAAAGCCTTAAAAAAGGAGGCGACATCCCAACCTTCTGGTTCTGGTTTTGGGGGCCCCCACCAAAACCGTAAACCCTAAACTAAAAAACCCTGAGCCTTAAACCCTAAACCCTGAATCTTAAACCCTAAGCCATATAAACCTAAAGCCCTAAACCTTAAATCCTAAGCATAAAGCCCTAGACCCAAAGGCCTGAAGCCGCACTTAGAGGCCCAGGGGAGTTAGTAAGTAGGTGATATGCAGAGTTATCATATGCAGAGTTATAGGTACCTTAATTCAGGGTTTAGGGTTTAGGCTTTCTAAACCCTAAACCCTAAACCCTAAACCCTAAACCCTAAACCCTAAACCCTAAACCCTAAACCAGAACCCAAGTATAACCCTACCTATACCCGACTTGCTAAGTCCCCTGGGCCTCTAAGCAGGAGCTGATAGAAGAAACTATTTATCAGGAACCCTGGGGTCCAGGTGAACCCTAAGCCCTATAAACTTTAAACCTAAAAGCCTGAAATCCTAAACATTGAACCCCAAACCCTAAACCCTCAATCCCTTAAACCCTGATAGCAAACCTTAAATCCATCCTTAAAGGAATCCTAAATTCTATACGACCTGAAGCCACAGATGACCGACATACTAAGCCCTATAAACCTTAAACCCTAAACCCTAAACCTTAAGTTCTAAACCCCAACCCCTGTTCCCAAAACCCCTCCCTAAACCCTAAACCCTAAACCCTAAACCCTAAACCCTAAACCCTAAACCCTAAACCCTAAACCCTAAACCCTAAACCCTAAACCCCTTAAGCCCTACAAAACCACAGGAGCTCATAGAAGTGGAGTCTCGGGCCCTGGGGCCCAGGGCCCGAGCTGATCGGGCGTATCTTTCGCTGCTGTTTCTCGTGGGCTACTTCTTTTGGACGGAGCCTTGGGTTTAGGGTTTAGGGTTTAGGGTTTAGGGTCTTCTTTTGGATGGAGCCTTGGTCTTTGGTCTTTTTTAGGGTTTAGGGTTTAGGGTTTAGGGTTTAGGGTTTAGGGCTACTTCTTTTGGACGGAGCCTTGGTCTTTTTTGGGGTTTTGGGATTAGGGTTTAGGGTTTAGGGTTGGGGTTTAGGGGTTTAGGGGTTTAGGGTTTAGGGGGTTTAGGGCTTAGGGGGTTTAGGGCTTTGGGGTTTCGGGTTTAGGGGGTTTAGAGGTTAGGGACTTCTTTTGGACGGAGCCTTGGTCTTGGTCAGAGTTTAGGGTTTAGCTATTTCTTGTGGACGCAGCCTTCGGCTTGGTCCTTAAACGCTAATCCCAAAACCCAAAACCCCCTAAACCCTAAGCCCCGATCCGTTTGGGGTTTAGGGATCTGCGATGCTTTTTGTTTAGGCTTTTGTTTTTGGTTTAGGGTTTAAGGTTTACGGGTTTAGGGTTTACCGGTTGACCCCAATCCCTAAACCGTCTAAACCCTAAACCAAAAGGGGTTCTAGGGTTTAGTGTGTAAGGAATCTTGGATGCCAAGGTGAGGCATTATGCTCCGCTGACGCAGCAACCGTCCGCGAACCCACGCAGCGCCACGATCATGGAGGATGGGTTTCGGAGATGACATAAAGGATGTTCACTACCGTTCTTAATGAACATAAACCTTAAATTCTAAAGCCTTAACCAACCCTAAGCCCCTAAACCCCAAACTGCCCTAAACCCTAAACCCGTAATTAACCCTAAACCCCTAAACCCCTAAGCGCTAAGGCCTAAATCCTGAGTTTGCTTACGAGTCTAAGCAGCTTATGAACTTGTGGACTGGTGTCCTGCAATTTGTTACCTACGTGGCTACTTCTCTAAATTAGGGTCCTCTTTATCGGAACCCCCAAAGAAGGCGGCGCCCCTTGCAAAAAGGACCCGACATGGCCAAAACCCTAAACCCTAAACCCGAAACCCTAAACCCTATAAACCCTGAACCCTAAACCCTAAACCCTAAACCATAAATAGTGGGAAAAAGGGGTGTTTTCCGTAGTTTGAGAGCCGGACTCGGGGGCCTTAAGCCTGACAAGTTTGGGGTTTCGAGGTATGAAGGTTTGGGGTTTAGGGTTTAGGGTTTAGGGTTTAGGGTTTAGGGTTTAGGGGTTTAGGGTTTAGGGTTTGAAAGATTTGGTGTTTTGAGCTATGAAGGTTTAGGCTTTAGGGGTTCCTGTTTAGGGTAGAGGGTTGAGGGTTTAGGGTATTTAAAAAGAGGCTGGGTTTTCGAGGTATGAAGGTTCAGGGTCTTGGTGACAAGACCTGCAACCCAACATGAATTAGTTTTAACAGCCGAAGCAAGGTGCTGATTTGGGAGAACTTGGAATTTCTCTTATTGCTGAATATAACCCTCCTGACTCACCATGAACAAAGTTGGGGTACTTGAAATCGCCACCTCGTAAATGACATCGATTCAAGATTTTTTTTGGCCTGGGGTCTTGGGTTGGTCGAGTTTGAGGATTCTACGGTTAGATTGGTTTCTTAGGGTTGAGTTATTTTCGAGGGCGAAAGGTACAGGGTTTAGGGCTGAATGCAATGGCTGCATAGCGTGCGCGACTCAGAGCAGTCGAAATCATTCGTGTTCCTAAACCCTGAACCCTAAACCCTAAACCCCAAGAGCCTCGACCCTGGCAAGCTTTGAAGCCCTATACTAACAACAGCCCTGTTAGGGTTTAGGGTTTAGAGTTCCGAGGTTTAGGCTGGGCTTTGTTGAGAGTCGTGTCATCCGATCATCCACCTGCAAGGACTCGCCTTTGTGTGTCTGCCGCCATGTGAGCCTGCCCAACTGCTTTCTATCCTTCTACTGCGAGCACGCGCGGAACGCGCACACATTGGAGAAGACAGGTGGGATGGTAACACCGGAACTGCTCCCTGAACCCCAAACCTGAACCCCCACCAAGCCCCTAAAAAAGCAAGAGCTTAAGTAATTAAGCATGATACCGAACACTATGAAGAATATATTTCTTTTGCGGCATTCGGTGTTTCAAGGTCCTTACACTATTAAACCAAGTCGCTAAACCCAAACCCTAAACAATAAACCCTAGCCCTCAAGACCCTGAGGAATGTGAAGTAGTGTGGCTTTGGTGAGAGTATAGAGGGCGCCTTCGAAGTAGTGGCGAGTGTATCTTTGCAGTTTCGTTGTGGTTTCGTTGTGGGCCCGAAGCCCTAAACCCTAAACCCTAAAAAGCCCTGTATCTCAGGATTTGGGGCTGATGAGTCCCCAAAACCCTGAGCCCTAAGCCCTAAACCCTAAGCCTTAAAACCCTAAGCTCAAGGCTTAGGCCGCCCACCAGCCACGTCGCGCCCGATACCGGAGCAGGTTCAAGTAGTGCCACTGCCCTGCCCTCTGCCCTGCTCTCATGCCGTGCTCTGTCCGTCTGCCTCTGCCCCCCTGCCCTGCCCTGCCCACCCTGCCCTGACCCCTAAACCCTATGACCTAAAGTCCAACAAACCCTAGAACGCCTAATTCTGCCGTAAACCGCAAAACCTTACGCCTTAAACTCTAGACCCTAAGTCCTATGCCGGACGACGGAGCCCCGAAGAAAAACATCTACCCTTGCCTTGCAGCCCCCCGAAGGCGGCTCAGCAAGCATGAGTATCTATAGCTAGGTTCCTGAGTAGTACCCTTTGGGGTTTTGGGTTTAGGGGTTTCACGGGTCTAGGCTTGGGTGGTGGATTCTGCAATAAGATAGAAGGAAGAATAAGGGCTCGTTGGCAGAAAGTCATTAGTGCATTTGTGCCCTATGTGAGCCTGCCCCCACCCCATACTGCTACCGTATGCTCCTTGTAATCTCCCAGCAACCTATTTGCCAAGAAACAAGTACGCCAAAATCAAACAGCACGTATGATCTCTGGAGCCCTCAACACCCCAGGCCCTAAACCCTAAACCCTACACCCCAGGCCCTTAACCTCCGCGCCGAAGGCATGGTTTCCTACTACTGGCAGGGGGCTCTCGCTAGTGCCTCGGACCGTTTAGGGTTTAGGGGTAATATAGGGGCCTAAGTAATTACCAATACTGGTTCTTTATTATAATTATAGCATAACATACACTCAAAACCCTATTCTAATTATTAAGGCCCTTATACTAGCTTCGGAAGACTGTTTCGGCCATGCTCGCGATGATTATGGCGCGAGTGGCAAGACCGGCGTAGGGCAGTCGTGGTTAGAATCGGTCCAAATGGCAATACTCAGCTTTGTGGGACAGCTACCGTTCGAACCAAGATTTACAGTATTGTCACCACCAAGAGTGTGCTTTTTTTCAGGAACTTTCCGGGACATCTATTAGCGTACCAGCAATAGCGCAAACATCGCCGACAACAACCAGTGGAGCAGCAGCAGTAATAGCCGCTAGCTACAGTGACACTCAGCCGCAATACTTACTGCAACGGTACCGTCGCTGCAACAACCACTGCAGCAGCAGCCACCGACAGGAAGAGAAGCGCTAGAAACAAGACAGAAACCGGTGGAATGAGGCATCCTAAACTCACTCAAGTCGATCGCTCTGTCAAGGCTTGCACACATCCGGTAGCAACAGTCCCTAAACCCCATTCCGTCTTATTGTGATTCAGTCAACCCTAAACCCTAAACCCTAAACCCTAAACCCTAAACCCTAAACCCTAAACCCTAAACCCTAAACCCTAATCCTGCCACCCAAAAGCAGAGACCCCAAAGCCTCTCCTTGCCTGCAGCTTTTCCGTCCACGAAGGCCTCAAGCACCTCAAACCCTACACTCCCTAAACGGGTTTAGGGTTTAGGGTTTAGGGCCTAATCCCTACAACCCTAAACCCTACACTCTAAACCCTAAATCCACGTTTCCTCCGCCAAGAAATACCACAAAACCCAAAGATGCTTTCTATTTGTCTGGCACCGTCCGCATCAAATCCTCTAATCAATCCTATACTCTATACCCCATAACTACCTAGACCCAGGACCCTAAAGTTTAGGGTTTAGGGTGAAACCCAAACCCTAAACCCTAAACCCTTGAGAAAGAAAGAAGGTGCTTGCTGCCTGCCCTGTACCATCCTCTACTTCTACAGCGCCGTGCGCACGGCGCTCGGCGGCGGGCGCGCGGATCCCGTAGCCAGCTGCATCCTGGCAGGATTTTAGGGGAGGTTTCACAAAATTGTTAGGGTTTGTAGAGGGTCTTGAAGGTAAATTTTAAAGGGTTTCCGTGAAGTTTTGTTTTAAGGGTTTGGGGTCTGCAACGGTTTCCACTGCGTTTTGAATGGTTTCCAAAAGGCTGGTGTTCAGGTGTTTCCTTAAGGCTCTTTAGGGGTTCCCATCGGGTTTTTGAGAGTTTGCGTAGCGTCGTTGAAGGTTTCCATGCGCATGTTGGGTGGTGTTATACGTCTTAGGGTTTAGTGTTAAGGGGTCTTACAAGAGCTTGGCAACTTGATTTCAAAGGTATACCAGGGCTTTAGAGGTGTTTTGCAAGGGATGTTCATGGCTTTCGACGGGTTCTTAAGGGTTTCACGAGAGTAGCAGTGCCTTACAGTAGCAGTAGCAGGAGGAGGAGGCGGAGGAGGAGGAGGCAGCAGCAACAGTAATGGCCCATATCCGGTTCCCGAAACTTGAAGCCTTTGACCCTGAACCGCAACCTGCTCCTGGTTGAGGTTGCTATGCTTTCTTCTGCCCCTGGTGCGTCCTGGCGCAGCAGGTGCATGCATCAGCCTGCGAACATAAGAAGTTGCTGAAGGGGTTCGGGGCAGGGGATGGGGCGTGTAGGGGTTTCAGGGTTTGAGGACTCCGGACATCGGGGTGGCATGTGAGCCGAGACCCAACACTCCCAATTTTCTTTTTCCAACTTGAAATCACAGTTCACTTCGGCCTGCGCCGCAAAACCCAACCCTAAAGTCTACACCCAACGCCCTAAACCCTAAACCCTAAGCCCTAAACCCTAAACTCTAAACCCTAGGCCCGCCTTACTAACTCATGCGAGAGAAAGGGGCCACTGCACTTAAAACAACCTATGCCCTAAACCCTAAACTCTAAACCCTAGGCCCTAAACCCAGCCCGGGCTGCAAGCCTTAAGCTCGCAACCCGTTCGCAGCACAGGGTTAGGGTTTGGGGGACTAAGATTTAGGGGTTCAAGGGTTTAGGTTTAGAGTTCTGGGATTTCAACTTGCATGCAGCTCAACACTTCTCTGCAAAGCCATCAAACTTCACCCAACGCCATGCAATGAAATCAGGGGACTTGTAAGGGGGGCCCTGATACTACAAATTGTTACACTGGTTGGGGAAAAGAGTCGTTAGGTAGTCCTTCCATGCAGCAATATACCTTACTTGGAGGATCATGGGACTTAGTAAGTAGGGTTATAATTAGGGTAGCTATATTTATAACCCCAATTAAGGGACTTATAAGCTTACTTACTAAGTCCCATGATCCTCCAAGTAAAGCATACCAAGGAGAGCTATAACTTAACCCTAAACCCTAAACCCTATTGAGCATTTCCTGAAGCAACGGGGTTTGGAGGCACCTTCACAACCCGAGATCCACCGAAGCCCTGAATCTCTAAGGCCTGAAGCCTACACCCGAGAGTCCAAAAACCCCGAAACCCAGAAGCCCTACATAAAAAACTGTAAACCTAAAAAAAACAAAGCCCTGTCTGTGCCCAAAGCCCTAAACCCCGAACCCTAATTAATCGTAAATGAGCCCTAAACCCTGAACAGACCTCAGTGGAAAATCGTTGGCTTAAACCCTAAACCCTGAAAAATAAAGGCCCTAAGCCCTAAACGAACCCTAAACCCTAAACCCTAAACCCTAAACCGTAAAAACCCTAATTTGCTCTTTAGGCCGAGGCGCTGGATGCTGCCACCGGGCAGGAGCTTCAGGCGATCCTGGGTCCGGAGATGTGGATTAGGGCCTTTAGGGTTACAGTCTCTAGCCGAACCCTAAAGACCCTCTAGAGACTGTTTAGGGTGTAGGGTCTAGGGTTTAGGGTTTAGGGTTTAGGGATTAGGGCCTGTAGGTTGGGTTCAGGATTTAGGTTTCAGGGTTTGGGGGTTTAGGGCCTTGAGGGCCTTCAGGTTTCAGGGTTTAGGCTTTAAGGCCTTTAGGTTTCAGGGTTTAGGGTTTAGGGTTTAGTTTAGGGCCCTTAGGTTTCAGGGTTTAGGGTTTAGGGCCTTTAGGTTTCAGGGTTTGGGGTTTTAGGGCCTTAGGAACTGTAGGATTCAGGGTTTAGGGTTTACAGCTTAGGGCCTCTTTAGTGTGTGGGTTCCTTTGAAGTCTAAGCCCATTATAGGTGGGT